ATACACACAGTTTGAAATTCAATCCACAGCAAACTACTTCGCCAGAGATTTAGCTTTGTCCGTCACAGAGTCCAAATGGCCACCACCTCCCTTTTATAGCCTGTGGGGTGTGGTCCAGTGACTCAGCTTAATCTCTGGCACGTCTCCTTTTCTGCTGCGCACGCTTGTCGCACCTACGCTGGCGTGGATCCAGCCACAATGTATCTTCATCACTATCCGAAACACCTGGCTCCTGGCCAATCTCAGAAACACCTGGCTCCTGGTCAATCTCTTCTCCGTCGGGAGACACCTGAGGCATTGCCAGAGAGGAGGGTCCTGGAGAGGGAGGCCTGGCCATCTCCTCTCCTTCATGTTTGGAGCCTTCTTCCTCCGATAAGAGGGGCTCACAAGACGGAGCCACAACAGGCTCCTCCAGTGGACCATGCCTTGGCACTTGCCCTGGTCCCACCCCCTTCTGCCAGAGACCCTCAGATCTGTCCCACTCCTACCCAGGCCCCCACAGGCCCCCTTGAGGCAAATGATATAGAGCTGGCCATGCCCACCCAATAGGCCACACCCACTCCACACCCACCCAGTAGGCCGCACCCATCCTGGCCACACACACCCCGCTCCCCTGAGGGCAACCGCAATGCTGATGCGGCCCTCAATGAAGTTGAGTTTGATAGCCCTGCTCTAGAGCAAGCACAAAAAGGTATAAAAAACAACAATGGGAAGATAAGAAATGAGCTACTCAAAAGGTGTTTAAAGTAGGAGATAAAGTATATATGTCCACCAAATATTTGAACCTAAAAATACCTTGTAAAAAACTAGGTCCTAAATATATAGGTCCTTTTACTATCATAGGCATCATCAACCCAGTCACAATGAAACTGCAATTACAAAGGGATTTTAAACAACTACACCCAATATTTCATGATAGTTTATTGGGCTGTCAGACTCCTGAATGGGAAATAACTCCATGTATGATAGACTTGCAGGGCCAGCACATTGTACAATAAGTTCACGTGGTGTAATAAGATTGTGTGTTTGTTGTCACTGTGAGTTGTGTCGGGAGGGTGCATGAAGGGAGGCTTAGTCAATGTCATTGTACACATGTTGTACTTTGACAATAAAGGTTGATTTGATTTGATTCAAGGTTCAAGAATGAGACCAATAGGAAAATCACTTTCACTTCCAATTTTAGTTAAGGGGGAAAGGCATTATGAAATTGAAGAAATTTTAGATTGTAGGTATTGTAGGGGAAAGCTGCAATATTGAGTAAAATGGAATGGATACCCCTTAGTGGGTGCACAGTGGGTGGCAGCTACAAATGTTAGAGCAGTTAAGCTAATAAGAAAAATCCATTCAAAATACCCTAAGCAACTTCAGTGAGGAAAGCGAAATTAGGTATGGGATAAAAATCAGTGTGTGTGTTTATTATTATTCCAGATCCAATTTTTTTGTCAAGGGGGCAACATGTCAAGAGTTAAAATTTGGCAGCTAAGTGCCTCTCTGTTTTCATCTTGCCATTAAAGTAAGGGGGTAGGAAGTATTGCTTTCAAATGGATTAGTTAGAGAAATGAAACTTCTCCAGTTCTACAAAAGCTTGCTTGAGAGTCAACAGTCTGGGAAACATTCAAGGACATTCTAGCAGGTGTGAAGAAAATAACAGATGGTTCCCATAACAAAGAGAACTTGTTTACATGAGCTACATGGACATCTGGGGGTTTGACTGGGAAAGTCATTGTTATATGCTATGGTCTGATGCCTTGGGATTTTAGAGTTAGTTTTAACTCACCATAACCACGCTATGTATTCAATAAACAATAAGCTTTTCAGAAAAGAAATGATCCTGGATTTTTATCTGGATAGTCAAGAGGGATGTTGACATCATATTTCTTTGATTAGGACTTGAACTGTTAAGTTTTTACCAGTCCCAAATTGAAGATTAAATCTTAAATAATAATAATAATACCAATAAAAGAGGGAGTAAAGAAGATAATATGAATGATAAATAATAATACTACGGTCACACTACATGGATTAGTAGACATTAGGCATCAGAGAATTAAGTGTTCAGTAGAGTAATGGCATGAGGGAAAAAACTGTCCCTATGTCTAGTTGTATGTAATCTATAGGATTAACCCAAGGGAAAGAGTTGAAACAGTTTATGTCCATAATATGAGCGGTTTGCAAATATCTTCTCAGCCCTCCTTCTGACCTATACAATGTACAGGTCTTCTATGGATGTCAGGCTGGTTGCAATTGTTCTTTCTGCAATCTTAACTATCTGTTGGAGTCTGTACCTGTCCTGTTTGGTTGCTATACCAAACCAGACAGTTTTAGAAGTACAAATAAAAGACTCAATAATTCCTCTGTATCAACAGCTCCTGGGCAGTCTGAACTTCCTGACATAGGAAAAACATTCTTTGTTGTGATTTTTTAATGATAGCTCTAATGTTGAGCATCCGTTTCAAGTCCTGGGAAATTGTAGAATCCAAAAACTTGAAGGATTCCACTGCTGATACTGTGCTGTCAAATACTGTAAGAGGAGGTAAAATAGAAGGGTTTCTCCTAAAATTCACTCTCATCTCTACGGTTTTAAGCATGTTCAGCTCCAGATTGTTATGGTTCACCACAGGGCCAGTTGTTCAACCTCCCATCTGTATGCAGACTCATCACCATCTCGAATAAGGCCAATAAGCATTGTATCATCTGCAAACTTCAGAACTGTAACAGAGGATTCCTTTGAGGTGCAGTCATTGGTATACAGAGAGAAGAGTAATGGAGAGAGCATACAGCCCTAAAGGGCATCTGTGCTAATTGCCTCGGTACTAGATGTAATTATTCCTAGCTTCATCTGGGAAGTTGTCAAAAGGCTGATTATCCACCTACAAGTATGAATAGGCACAATGAGCTGAAACAGTTTAGAGTAGGGAATTTCTGGAATGATGGTATTGAATGTCAAGCTGAAATTCACAAAAGGACCCATGCGTAGGTCCTTGGGGATTCAAGATGTTGCAAATTGTAGTGCAATGTCATATTGACAGCATCATCTGCCAAACTATTTGCTCAATAAGCAAGGGGTCTAACAGCTGATCCGTGAAGACTTTCAGGTGGGCCAACACTAACCTCTTAAAGGTCTTCATAACTACAGATTTCAGAGCAACTGATCTGTAGTTATTCAGCTCCCTGATGGAGGATTTCTTAGGAACTGCAATGATGGTAGAGTATTTGAAGCAAGAAGGGACATAACACATTTCCAACTATTTATTCAAAATCTGTGTGAAGTTGGGTTCTAATTAGTTCTAATTAGTCTCAGGCTTTCTCTTTTATCAATAAGCATGTGCACCTTGAATTGGACCTGGAAGCAAACTGGTAACCAATGCAGCTTTCAGAACAGAGGTAAAATGTGTATTTTGTGAAGAACACACATAACTGCCTACACCGCTGCATTTTATACCAGCTGAAGTTTCTGGATACTCTTCAAGGGCAGCCATATGTAGAGAGCATTATAATAGTCCAACTAGGACAGGAGTAGGCAACCTTGGCTCTTTTATGACTTGTGGACTTCAACTCCCAGAATTCCTGAGTCAGCATGGCTGGTTCAGGAACTTCTGGGTATTGAAGCCCACAAGTCATAAAAGAGCCAAGGTTGCCTACCCTTGAACTAGGTGGTGACTAGGTCGTAAGTGACAGTGAGTAGGAGCCCTTGATCAAGGAATGGCGCAATTGGTGCCCAATATGAAGTTACATGAAGGCCCTCATCAGCATAATTGCTACCTGCTCCTTGAAATCATGAGTCCAGGAGGACCCCCTGATTGTGCATGGGGTCTGTTTGGGGCAATGTAACTCCATCCAGCCCCAAAGGTGGCATAATCCCACAACTGGAGGGTTCCCAAACCCAAAGCTCAGTCTTGCCAGTGTTCTGTTGAAGCCTATTGTTCGCCATTCAGATTTCCTATGTTTTAATATATATAATATTTCTTCTTGGACAAGTGACCATCAAGAAATGAGGAAAGGGCAGCTAGCACACTATCACATAGGGTAACTTTTACTATATTTCATTAAGAAAACAAAGGGAAAAGATATGGGTGAACTATAGCTATATACTACATAAAATTATTCTTAGCATTTAGTTTTTGCAACTGTGAACAGCATACAGAAAAATAGTGAATATATATAAAATCCATGTATTTCCTTAGATAGGAAAAAACCTTTTTTAGAGCTGGATTTTAAACTATAATGTCACTTTCCGTATGTAGTATTTCAATGCAATTTCTATAGAAATATTGTTTTATAAAAATAAAATATATTTTACTGAATAATTAATACATCAAAAAGATATTTTTCTTGTTTGCTCATTGTACAACAAAAAATAAAATTTTAAATGTTCCAAGACACACAGACAGACAGATAGTTGCAACATTTTAAATATTGGTCTCACACCTGTTTTTAATCTTCTAAATTGCTTCAACCTAGCTGAATCTTTTTTAGTGAGATTAGATCTGGCAATTAGATCTTTATTTGCTTTGTTGGATGGATAGTAAGTAATCTATATTACATCAATATTTTTTCCAGTGGACACCAGTAGCATTCACCATGTCCATACATTACTTACCAATGATATTTTCTAATCCATCTACAATCCCTTGTAATTGTATTGAAAATGTTTTTCTGTTAGGAATCAGTGATACATCTGTAGAGAACTGTAGAGATCTAGAAAATGAAATATTTCATTTTTATTGGCTAAAGACATTAAAAAACCTGTGACAGTCTGAGGATTAAAATTTGAATCTTAAGATAAATATAAGATAGTTCATGAGAAGTTCTTATTTTCCTACTTTTCCAAACTATAAAATGTCTCTTTGGAATAATCTGGAATGGGCCATCAGGTGACAGCTTGGAAAATCAAATAAAAAATCAGATATATATCCTAAGTTAAGGAAGTTCACAAATAATTTGTCATCTCTCTTGTTTTTGTGCTGTTTCTTACACTTGGAAGAAGTGTAAGTGCTGCAGGTGTTTTCAGGATAGTGAAAAAGATATCTCATCAGAAGAACTTCATTTAAGTTAATTTATCTCAGATGGATTAGTTGTTTTCCTTGGAGATTATGGCAAAAGTGGTTGGAGAGGAGTGAAATAAATAAACTATGAGCAAAGAAGAAAAATGAATAATGAAGGAGATACTATTCCAGATTTCTTGTGGTCTAGAAACTACATCATTTTTCATTCTTTTACATAAAATATAACTAGATCAGGATTCAGATTTATATATATATATATATTTATATAATTTCCTACTAAAGTTTTTTTTTGTATTACCCAATACTAGTGAACTTTCTGTGAATTTCTCCATTATTTTTATTTCTCTCTGGATATACCGTGTTTCCACAAAATAAGACCAGGTCTTATATATATATCCAAAAACTCATTAGGGCTTATTTTCAGGTGATGTCTTATTTTGCGGCTATCTGCAGGAGAGTAGGTGTCACACCAGTGCTGCCGCAAGTTGAAGCAAGGCAGGTTGGGGGATAGAGCTGCCCTAGGTGCCCCACACCCACTTATCTCAGTGACCTGCAGCCAGGTCACTCTCCACTTGGCAACCTCGCCCTGCCCGTTCAATCACCCAGCTGCCTGCCTCATCTTGTGGTGGTGGCACCAGTGCGACGTGTGCTCTCCTACCCCGTTGTGACCACGAGCAACCAGGCAAGTGGGTGGGCTCTTGGTGAATGGGATTGCTGCTGCCTGTGCCACCACGAAGTGAGGCAGGTGGCATGGCATGAGTGGCCTGGCTGCGGGGGCCCTGAGGTAAGTGGTGTGGGGTGCATGGGGAAGCTCCACCTCCCCATCTGCCTCGCCTCAACTCATGGCAGTGGCACTGGTGTGACACATGCTCTCTTGCCCCATTGTGGTGGGACGGAGTGGGCAGGCTCTTAACTAGGGCTTTTATTAGGCACACCCGTAAAAATCATGCTAGGGCTTATTTTCTGGTTGGGTCTTATTTTCGGGGAAACACAATATTTTCTGCTGCATAAAGCTATTCTCATGTTGATGATATGAGTGAAAGCATATTGTTATAAAGTATTTGCATTTAAAATACTCTTGCCACACAGATAAAACATAATAAGTCATTAAAATAAATATATATTTCTTTTTTATGGTTAAAATCAAAATATGTTTTAAATTATGCATACCTCTCATAGGTGATTGATTGTTTATTTGAATCAGAAATTGGCTCTTTTCCTTGAAAAGTAAGAAAAACAAAAGCAATCCTTAAAAACTAATAATCCCAACATAATAATTTGAGTCTTTCTCATGTTTAGCACGAAGATAGTAAACTAGCTAATTTCTCTTGAGATCAAATTTGCAATTCCCTTTACATTTCCAGAAACTGGGAATAGCACTATAGCACCTTTTTGTTTTTCAAATGTTAGCAGTTCCACCTCAGTAATATTGAGATGAAGCATCTTGTTTGGACAGTTCTTCAGGAAAGAAAAAAGAACATTGCCAAGTAGCTGTCACGGAGAAAGATTCTGCCTGCCTGTGGCAACAGAAACGAAAGAGAAGTCTAATAAGCTGCTGTTCTTAGCAAAGCATAAGATTTCAGAATTTGCCTGTTTTAAAATTGCCCCTATAAAAATAGAATAAAAAAGAAAATTGTCTTGATATTACAGAAAGAGATATCAATTTTTTTAATTTTAAACTTCATATTATTTTTCTTCTCAAAGCTGCTACTCTTCTGTGAGACAAAATAGTCAATTATCTTAAATACAGTTTCAGCTGAATTTATAAACTCCAGTTCCAGCTGTAAAAATCTGGTAATCTTAATATTAATATTAATATTAATCTGTTAAAAATATTGTATAGACTGATAAAAAAAAGAAAAAATCTGACAGAAAATTACATTTTCTATCTCATATTAATAATTCTTCATACTTTTTCTCAAATTTGGTATTGGAATGGAGCAAACTCTTATATACTGTAGTACAGGTACTAACTGAAACTGTAATCCTAACATCTATATTCCTAGCTACTTTGCATGCTCTTTCCCAGACCCTCTCCTTGGCATCAGAAGGAGAATTACCACTCACTCTCCGATCAGCTTGCTGGCTTGTGAGTCTATAAATATGATGTATCACATCAACCTCACAATGCATTATAGTTAGAACCTCTCAGAGCAATGCACACTAAGTTGATAACCAGTGTGATAATGCTGCTCTGAAGAACCTATTTCTAAATTGTTTTGAGACAAAAGTTCCAAGTAATGATCAAAAGGATAAAGTAGTCAGTTTCAAATTTAACTACCCAAAGTGGCTGCTTCATTCTAAATTGTAATGGGGCTGGCTTGCCTCATGACCAAGATTATGGAACCAAGAGGCAACTGTAAATCACAAGCACAGCTGTTGCTTCAGTAAGAAGGATGAGTACAACCTTATCTCTTTTTTTATACATTCAGAGAAAGTACATGAAGATTAAAGGAATGTTGTAGTATGGCAAACTAATTTTGACATTACCTTTTTATTGCAACATACAATTATTATGAGCCTTGATGGAAGTGTGACTGCCTTTGAAGGCCATCTGCTGGAAGACTAGTGGGCTTCGTTATGCAATTATTTGGCCACTGTTAAGGACAGACTGCCAGAAGAGATTTCACTGCTTATGTTCCTTTGTTAAAACCACAGAAAATCATAAAAAATAAGCCATATAGAGTATGTGCCCATTCGGTATGGTTTAAGTTTATAATTGTCTGTGGGGAAAAGTACTGATTCAGCAAAGCCATGAAGGAAAGTAAAGGTCATTATCTACACATGATGATCACAAAATATAACTGATTGTGATATTGTAATTTGCATGTGAGAATGACACTGCGAGACAGAAAAAATATATCTGTGAAAGGTATCTCAGCCCAGAGAAGGAAAAGGGATGAGGGAAGTATCTCAGAAAGAACCCTCTCTTGTTTTCTGGAAAGTAAAAGAAGGGAGAAATGCTTTCAGACTTGCAAGATTTCATTACTATAATCTTACAATTAAGGTAGTGTTAGAATTCATGGTTTATGTTTGTCTTAACTATCATGAAAGGCTGACAAATATGGAATAGTAGTAATTAGTAAAAAGCAAGAAATAAAGCCTGATTTTTTTTTTAAAAAAATGCTATGTTTTCTTATTAAACTAAGAAAAAATGAAAAGATGTAGTAGATTCTTACCCTGTAGAGTGGAATTGATGAGTATATGTACAGAAGTTACATTGGGGGGGGGGGGACCCTCCAAGAATTTCACAAAAAAGCCTGTTAGATAACATGAATGGATGGGCCTGAACGAGACAACACTGTGCAGAAAAAATGATAGGATCATTTGGAGATCCAGGAATGAATAAGACAGATTAGTGAGCATCTACTAAAAAAGGGATTATTCATTTTGAACATATAGTTTAAGAATATGTCTCTTTACACAAGCACAAACACACTCACACATACATACACACACAGCAACACACAGTGCAGTTTTATAATGGGCATGGGGTTGCAGACCAAATTTCTACTTTTCAGCAAAGCATCAAAAATGTACAAATGCAAGTGTTTATTGTATGTTTGTGATTTAGAAAAGTATACAATAAAATGAGTTTGAAGTATGGTGTTTTGCACTGATAAGGAGTTGAAGGTTGGTTGCTGAATGCAGAAAGTAAAGCACATGTAAGAATGGAATTATTACTAAATGATTCAGCACTGAGCAAAAAGTAAGATGAAGATGTGCGCTGTCCCTTCTGTAGTTTAATATATTTATGATAAATATGTAAGGAATGCTAGTGAGCAGTGTGGTGGCCTAATTGGTGAAGATGCTCACCTCCCACTTGGAAGGTTGAAAGTTCCATCCTAGGAAGCAGCAGATGTTTCTCTCTCATAGTGCAAAGAGAAAATAACTGCTGTGAACTCCACACAGGTGTCAGGAAGGGCATCCAGCCAGTAAATGCTCAGCTCCATTCAGCTGCCCTGACTCTACCCCAATTAAGGAGTTACAGGGTCATAAAAAGAAAAAAAAATGTATGGAATGCTAGCATGCAGAAATAAAATAAAATTACACCTTTTGAGAATAAGAATAAGAGAGCTGTCGTTTAAAGTTTTTTGAAAGAGTATTGCAGAGGACAATAGTGGCATGTTTATCACTAATTTTCTGAATCCCTTAATTCTATGGCTTGTTTTAGGATAAATGATCCCTAAGATTTGTTCCAAGTATATAGGAATTTAAAAATGAGAAACCTAAAAGATGCCTCTTTTTTATTTAGTGCCTGCTTCTATAGTCTGCAATTTTGTACCCCATGAAATTCACCTGGTTCAACTCTATAATTTTTTAAATGTAAAATAATAATATGGACTTTTCCTGTTGTATTTATTGAGTTCAATTATTTTTGAAATCAGTGCTATATTATTTTATAAATTCATTTCTTAGGGTATAATACATCTAATCCAAAAAACAGATTTAAAATTTAAAATAGTAAGTTTAATCTATTGGCACTTGTAAAACATAATATTTTGATGGAGATGGGAGAAAGATGAAATACTGAATCAGAGATTTGTCCTCAGATAAGAGGAATTACATGAGGCAATCAAGATTCAAAGCACAAAATTACAAGGACACCTGCAAATGAGGTCAAAAGAATCAAAACAGTGGTCACGGCAACATGATCAAAACTCTTCTCCTTTTATATGTACCTCACAACACACATTGAAAAGGAGTGAGGCTCTGATTGTGTAGTGGTTTTTCTGGATGTTTTTTACTCTTTCCCCTGGAAATTGCTGTATGGGTAGCAAGTTACCTAGGCTTGCAAAAAATATATTTTCCAGTCAACAGTTATTCTCATAGACCTTTCTTAATTTTAACTTAATTAGTGTTCATCCATTAAATTTGACAGCAAGGCCATTTCTGATGGCTGATGGCTATACCAGTGGAATCTGGATCTGAGTCCTGAACAGAGGGTGATGAAATGATAGAAGGTGTTGAAGCCATAGGAACCCTGGGAGGAAGTGATCATGCAATATTGGAATTCAACATTATGGAAGCACAAGCAATAGAACACAGTCAAACTAGAGTCTTGGACTTCAAGAGAGCTAATTTCAATAAACTTAGAGAGGGTTTGGGAAGGATTCCATGGATGAGAATCCTCAAGGGAAAAGCAACTCAAGAAGCTTGGGAAATTTTGAAAAATGAGATAATAAAAGCCCAGTCTAGCACAATACCAACAAAGAAGAAAAATAACAGTTCTCAAAAGAAACCAGCATGGCTGCATAAAGAACTCTCTGACAAATTGAAAGATAAAAAGGACAAGTATAGAAAGTGGAAAGAGGGGCACATAACTAAGTCAGAATATCAGCAAATAGCCTGAGCCTCCAAAAATGAAGTGAGGAAAGCCAAGGCTCAAAATGAACTAAGGCTTGCGACCAAAGTCAAAAATAACAAAAAAAGCTTCTTTCAACATGTAAAAAACAAGAAAAAAGTGAAGGAAATGATTGGTCCATTAGTGGGTGAAAGTGGCAAGAAGCTGACAAGCAACAGGCAGAAAGCAGAACTATTTAACTCGTTTTTTTGCATCTGTCTTTACACAAAGGGAAAAAACAGACCAACCTATCAAAAATAGTGCCATAAAAACAGAATAGAAACACAAGTTAAGATAGGCAAGAAAATGGTGAGCACCTGTCCAGCCTAGACGAGTTCAAATTGCCAGCACCAGATGGATTACACCCCAAGGTTCTCAAGGAACTGGCAGATGTGATCTCAGAACCACTGAACTATATTTTTCAAAGATCCTGGAGCACAGGGGAACTACCAGAGGACTGGAAAAGAGCTGATGTAGTTCCCATCTACAAAAAAGGAAAAAAAATGGACCCAGGAAATTACAGACCTATCAGTCTAACCTCAATACCTGGGAAGATCCTGGAAAAAATAATCAAACAATGAATCAGCGAACACCTAAAGGCAAACAAAGTCATTACTAAAAGCCAACATGGGTTTGTCAAAAATAGATCATGCCAGACAAATCTTATTGCATTCTTTGACCAAGTGACAAAATTAGTGGATCAGAGGAATGCTGTGGACATAATTTACTTGGAATTCAGTAAGGCATTTGATAAAGTAGATCACAACCTACTACTTGACAAGATAGAAAAATGTGGGGTAGACAGCACCACCACCAGATGGATACGTAGCTGGCTGACCAGCTGTACTCAGCGTGTGGTCCTCAGTGGAACCGCATCTACATGGAGGGAAGTGTGTAGTAGGGTGCCCCAGGGCTCTGTTCTGGGCCCAGTGCTCTTCAACATCTTTATCAACAATTTGGATGAGGGGATAGATGGGGAACTCATCAAATTTGCAGACGACACCAAGCTGGCAGGAATAGCCAACACTTCAGAAGACAGGCTTAAGATACAGAAGGATCTGGACAGACTTGAACACTGGGCGCTATCTAACAAAATGAAATTCAATGGTGAAAAAAGTAAGGTTCTACATTTAGGCAAGAAAAACCAAATGCACAGGTATAGTATAGGGGGTACCTTGCTCAATAGTAGTAACTGTGAGAGGGACCTCAGAGTCCTAGTGGACAATCACCTAAATATGAGCCAGCAAGGTACTGCAGCTGCCAAAAAGGCCAAGACAGTGCTAGGCTGCATTAACAGAGGGATAGAATCAAGATCACGTGAAGTATTAATACCACTTTACAATGCCTTGGTAAGGCCACAATTGGAATACTGCATCCAGTTTTGGTCATCACGATGTAAAAAAGATGTTGAGATTCTAGAAAGAGTACAGAGAAGAGCAACAAAGATGATTAGGAGACTGGAGGCTAAAGCATATAAGGAACGACTGCTGGAATTGGGTATGTCTAGTTTAATGAAGAGAAGGACGAGGGGGGACATGATAGCAGTGTTCCAATATCTCATGGGCTGCCACAAAGAAGAGAGTGTCAAGCTATTTTCCAAAGCGCCGGAAGGCAGGACAAGAAGCAACGGGTGGAAACTAAGCAAGGAGAGAAGGAAGCTAGAACTAAGGAGAAACTTCCTGACAGTTAGAACAATTAACCAGTGGAACAACCTGCCTCCAGAAGCAGTGAATGCTCCAACACTGGAGGTTTTGAAGAAGAGACTGGACAGCCATTTGTCCGAAATGGTATAGGGTTTCCTGCCTGAGCAGGGAGTTGGACTAGATGACCTCCAAGGTCCCTTCCAACTTTACTATTATTATTATTAATAATAATAATAATGAAAACTGATTGTAGCCTGGCTCATCTGATGCAGATGACTTGGCAGCATCTCCTAACCTATCTTCCTCAAAGTAATAGATGCTAAATTCTCAAAACTGTGTACTATATAGAACTTCATGAAGAATTATGAAGAGATAATGTCTAAGTCAGGGGTGTCAAACTCAATTTCACTGAGGACCGCATCAGCATTGCGATTGCCCTTGGGGGGCGGGTGGGTGTAGCCAGAGTGGGTGCCGCCTATTGGGTGGGCATGGATGGAGTGGGTGTGGCCTATTGGGTGGACATGGCCAGTTCTACATCATTCGCGTCAAGGCTGCCTGTGGGGGCCTGGGCAGGAGTGGGACAGATCTGAGGGTCTCTGGAAGAAGGGGGTGGGACCGGGGCAAGTGCCAAGGCATGGTCCACCGGGCCAAGTGCCAAGATGGCCACCACAAAATTTTACATTGGCTTCAGGCTGGCCTGGGCCAGGGCCAAGCAGCGGGGGCCGTTCCCCTCACTGTTTCCAGGATGGCTTCGCGGGCCACATGAAACCACTTCGTGGGCTGCATCCGCCTTGTGTTTTACATGTCTGGTCTAAGTATTTAAACTTACTCAAATTGTCCTATTGCACAACAAGTTCGGGTTTCACACCAAGTCGGACTACTGAACCTTAAATCCAAAGTGTTCCTTTAATTGCTCAGCAATTTGCTGAGATTTGGTGAACAATTCTGAACACCTTTAGAAAGCCAAGACTCTCAGTCTTTAAAGATTTATGCATCAGCTTTAGTATATAAAACAACAGACTGAGTGGGTGGGGAAGATAGAGAAATGAAACTACATAATTTGTTCAGTATGGATTGTTTTAGGATCTGCATCAAAATCAAAATATTTTCTTACTGTATATTGTAACACCACCATTGCCTATTAGCTTGATATATGAAATAATTTTTCCTACAGAAATAGCAACTATGCCTGCAAGTATCATGTATTTCTATCCCAAAACCAGTGGTGGGATTCAGCCAGCTCGCACCACTTCAGCAGAACTGGTAGCTAATTTTTTGTTGCCCAGGTCCAGAATGGACTTCCGGAAGCGGCATCCACACAGAGAATCAGTTGTTCATATATTTGAATCCCACCACTGCCCAAAACTATATAATTACTTACATAACACTTTTTGTCAGTTTGCCTATTTGAAACAAATTAGAATGTAAATGAGGTTTCTCTAAATAGCATCTGTAAAATGTCTACTGTTTTTGTAAACATTGCCTCCCAACAATGTGAAAAATTATGTACTTCTCTAAATCTGTAAATGTTCCTGTTGCACAAACTTTGTTCATATCTGTTTGAATTTGGGTAGGTTGATACTTACAGAAGAAACAACTGCAATTACAGTTGCTATTGAATTCTAAATGAAATTAGAAAAGTTGCATACATTTTTTTTAAAAAAATCACAATTTAAAAGATCTAAAGTGAAGCAGTTATTTGTCTCAAATGGAGAATCTATTTCCTCAGAAATGCTTACCATGTCTAAAAATTCTGCTAAACAAAAACAATTACAGTTATATATGATTGTCTCTTTCTAGTCAATTTGAAACATCAATCTCGTCTTGGTTTCAAGTCAGACTCCTGATTCAATGCAAGTTAAATTATCTACATTTCTGAAACAGTGTATTGGATATAAACTCAATCTTCTGATCAATATTCTTTCTTTAGAATTAATAATAGAATGGAAAAATAAATTAGAGGAAAAAGAAATAATGGCAAGAAATCTAGCTAAAACATAGTATCAAAGAGCACACATATCATGATACTACCAAAAGAACTGATAGAATAACGGTTGAACTAATTAACCTATGAGCTATGGCTCTGGGCTTTTGTAGTGTACAATGCAGTCTTATTTTCAAAGAACCTTATTAATCTTACTCAATGGCTTTATTTTTTCTTCATTCCTGAAGGTACCCAAATCTCCTGTAGTATTTTCTGATTTTTCTTCATGTTTGCTATGATCTTCAAATGAGATTTTCAAAACTTCATCAAAGTCTAATGTTTCTTTCAAAGATTCTGCTGAAGATTCTATAATATGATCATCATGATTTTGGTAATATTTTCTACGATCCTCCTTTTCATAGGGAATTCTCAGACAAATATTTATTTCAAATATTGGGGAATATTCCTCTTCTCCTTTTAGTTGCTTTTTCACTTCTTCTAGGATCTAAATTTATATGAAAGTATAATAAAAATAGAATATTTTTTTAAAAAATCATGCAAATGGAGCATTGAACATAAAAGATTTTTAATTTAAAACAAGGAACAAGTAAAAGCAGAAGATAGAAAAAAATCCATTATTTTTGATTTGATACTAATCAACAGAGAAGACTACAATGTGATAATGTGCCTTTTGTGCTGTTGTAAAGCATGAAGAGATTTTTCAGAAATATGGAAAATGTATTTAATCTTCATAAGTTTTTTTCATAAGGAACCATGAAATGATTTTGTCTTTGAAGGCAAGACTTTGTCTTTGAAGGTATAATAATGAATGGCTTTCAGCATATATTTAAACTAAAAATTTAAATCATTAAATTTAATCATTATAATACATATTAACATGAATGTGAACTATTGGATAATCAGTGTTGTAAGATACCTTCATTTAGAAATAAATTCACCTTGTCTATATCACTGACAGTAACAATTTCACGTGCTTCTGATTCCTTTGAACGGTGCAATAATTTCTGTGTGCCTTCAAAATGCTCATTTTCATAGACCCACTGGCATCTATTTTCAGTCAATAAGTAAAATGCTTTCTCAATTGTATTTTTATATGCTCTGCATATGTAAAAAATAGGAGAAATCCTAATTTATATTTTAAATAGCATAATTCATTTTAATAATTGACAATACCTCAAGGTTACTTAATACATCAAGATGTTGGGGCACTACTAGGAGATAGTAGAATAGATATTTAAGACAACTCCCAAAATTCTCCAGTCAGAAAGGGCTTACAAATAGTGAAGGCAGAGGAAGTGACCATCTTGAACCATGTCCACGTGTGAGAGACAATATTATAGTTTAGTTATAGATATTTCCTTTGTACAGGAATAAAACTAGCACATGCAACTCAGAGAGAAAAAGGAGCAATAAATTATTATTCATTTACTTAATTATATGGTATATCAATTTTTATTTAAAATGTAAATATTTTGGCCCCTCACTTGTTTTCCATAATAAGCATTTACTCCAAGAATTATTTTATAATTTTTATAATATCCTAAGCTTAAAAATAAAGGAACTCTAACAATCACTAAGTAATAATAAAAAATCTAAGATAAATTTTATAAACAATATTATTAAGTAAGAGCCAGTGTTTTAATCATGAAATAGGTAAAACTAACCTCATAAGGCTTTCATTTGTCTTCTTTTTTGAAATGGTCATACTACTGGAACCTTTAAATATCTCCAAAAGAGTAGTTACGGCATTGTTTACCAATCTGCGAAGAAATTCTTGAAAGATTCTATCTATAAGCTTAAGAAACTTAGAAAAGCGTTCCATAATGTGCCGCCATTCAGCTATCTCAAAGTATTTTGGTTTCTCTTTGAAATCATGCAGTGAATGCTGAAAAAGTTTTTCTGCTCCCTTCATTTTTGCTACCTGTAGCATTATGAAATAATAAATTTGCAAAATTAATAAATATATACAGTATTTTTCATCATGTAGACATTTTGTATTATTTACTTTTCATCACCAGGATTGTTTTCAACAAGGAAAACAAAATTTGAAGACATTTCATACATATGTATTTCTTATCAGAATTGCGATATAGCAAAAAGGGGGGTAGTGGTGGTAGTGAATAACAACTGCAACCATAGCCTTGACTATTGAAAATTGATTATGTTTGACCACAATATCAGATATCTATGAAACTCTTATGGAAGACAAATGGGAAAGGAGGACTGAACAGCAATCTCATTTTGAAAAAGAATCCAGAACCTTTAAGAATCAGGAACTTTTAATAAACTTCTAACATACCAAGACAGTCCAATTAAGAATATTATGGTAGAAATCATACTCCACAATCCATTGACATAGAAAAATGACAGCATTGTCATTGCTTGTGCATGAAATTAACAAGTTGAAGACCCAAAAGATCTGTCGCATTTCAGGTCTCCTCATGTAATTATAGTACAGAGATCAAAATATTGGGATATTCATATCAATTAAAGATGAAATACCCAGGATTTTTAAAAAGAAAGAATGATACAATTGAGAATTCATATCAAATTTCCAGAAATCTCATGAATCAGCAATGGGAGGGATGAAATGGGATGTGAAAATAAACTTTTTAGATCTGTGCTGTATTTTAACAAACAAAGAAACACAACCTTTCGAAATTGAAGGCCAACTTTGATGGCAATGTTTTCTTATTCAAAGAGCTAGTAGGTTTTACTATGGCTGCTTGAATGTACAAATGGGAAAGAGAAATACTACAGGGGCCTCATTGATCATGCAAACAGTATACACCTTTTTTTAGCAGCTACAGATAAGACCTAATCATGATTGACACAATTAGAATATGTTAATCATAGGACGAGTTATTCAAATTAACAGAAGCATCAGAAAGGATAAAAAGTTCCAGTGTATATGAAAAATGTATTATTGTTCCATTGAATGATAGGGAAATGTATGAATGTACATTGAGGAAGGGTGAGCCAACTGCAGTTTCTTCAAAAATGTGAGAAACCATGCTCATATCATATTCTGATGGAAGGCAGTATCTGTGAAATTGACATATATGGAAGCAATATGGAACTGGTGAAAACTCATTAAATCATGATCAGAATGATCATAGTTTGGAGGTTCAGAACACCTTGTTAGATGATCCTGATCCTATTGTTGAAGACCATGTAAGGGAAGCAGATGATCCAATACTGAGAGAGGACAATTCCTCTAATACAACAGGATCACCCATACATGTGTCATGTCATTGAAAATCTGCCATTTTTCCAGCATGACTAAAGGGTTATATTCTTTGAGAAATTTATGATGGTAAAGAACATCCACATTGGCATGCTAAACACTGGTGACTTCTACCACCATCAAGTCCTTGTTATCGTTTTGTATTTTAAATTTGTTTTATATACTTTTGTATATGTAGTTAGCTACAGTTATATGTATACAGTGAACAACTTGCCTCCAGATATTGTAGGTGCTCTAACACTGAAGGTTTTTAAGAAGAGATTGGACCAACATTTCTCTGAATGTAAAAGGTTTTCTTGCTTGAGTAGGTGGTTGAACTAGAAGACCTCCAAGGTCCCCTCCAACTCTGTTATTCTGTTATACTTTTACATATTTTCGTATATACCGTTTTTCTCTGAAAGTAAGACCTACCCCAAAAATAAGCCCTAGGTTTGGGGCAAGGCGCACGGCTAAAAATTAAGCTAGGGTGGGGGTGGGGGGTGGAGCTGTCCCACGCTTCCTGCACCCACTTACCTTGCAGCCAGGCCTCTCCTCACTGGCCCACTTCTTCTGTGGCATCTACAGACCTGCATTTCGCAGTCAGTCCTTTCCGGAAGTCCACTGCAGATGAGAATTCAATCCATAGCTCAGTTCTGCAAGGTCTCTGCAGTCGAGAACTGAGCAGAAAGAACAGGTGCAGAAAGCCCTGACTGCGAAATGCAGGCCCGAGCTCCATTCTGAGCTGCAGAATGAAGCTGCTCCTTCAGCCGCAGAAGAAGTGGGCCGGCTGGGCGAGGCTGTCAGTGCTGGAGGTGAGTGGAAAAGCCACCCCCCCCAAAATAAGACCTGGTACCTCTTTTGGAGGAAAAAAAATAAGACCCGGTCTTATTTTTGGGGAAACATGATATAATCCATATGCCTGCTTTTAATTTTATCAAGGGCAGATATAGAGAGATGCGTTGGTCATGGAGGCTGAAGTGCTGGATTACTGCACTAAGAAGGTAAATGAACAAGATGATGTTTATGGTCCTTTCCAATAATTTTATTCTACAATTTTATTAAAACCTTTCTTTGATGTCTGGTTCAGAAAAACCTGCAGAGATTTCTGTGGCAGCTTTACCTCCAGAAAATAGGGTTTTTAGTTACTTCGGAACCAAAACTAGAAATAATCCATCATACAATGCCTTGGTAAGGCCACACTTGGAATACTGCATCCAGTTTTGGTCACCGCGATGTAAAAAAGATGTTGAGACTCTAGAAAGAGTACAGAGAAGACAACAAAGATTAGGGGACTGGAGGCTAAAGCATATAAGGAACGGCTGCTGGAATTGGGTATGTCTAGTTTAATGAAGAGAAGGACGAGGGGGGACATGATAGCAGTGTTCCAATATCTCAGGGGCTGCCACAAAGAAGAGGGAGTCAAGCTATTCTCCAAAGCGCCTGAAGGCTGGACAAGAAGCAACGGGTGGAAACTAACCAAAGAGAGAAGCAACCTAGAACTAAGGAGAAACTTCCTGACAGTTAGAACAATTAACCAGTGGAACAACCTGCCTCCAGAAGCGGTGAATGCTCCAACACTGGAAGTTTTTAAGAAGAGACTGGACAGCCATTTGTCCGAAATGGTATAGGGTTTCCTGCCCGAGCAGGGGGTTGGACTAGATGACCTCCAAGGTCCCTTACAACTTTACTACTACTACTACTACTATTATTATTATTATTATTATTATTATTAATAATAATAATAATAATATCTCCTACTCTCAGAGAGAGAAAATAGCATATGTAAGCATCTAACTTCAAAATTAGGCATTAGTATGCCAAGGATTTTAAAAAGAGTGTAAGATAATTGTGATCAAATAGTAAAAATATCTTATTCATCACTACTTTCTCCATCAGATCAGAAAAAATAATTATTATACTTACTGAGAGTTAAAAGTCCTAACAATATAGCTTAAGAAAAACATTAAAGCATATTGGAAATACATTCAAAAATAAACATACTAAAGATAAAAATGCAAAATATATATATAAAAATGCATTAATTACCTTTAAAAAGCAGGTCTGAATTACTTTGATTACATTATCTTTAAAAGCTTGGAGTTGAGATAAAGCATGTTGACTCTGTTGATATTGTTCCTCACAAAATTTATGTAATGTGTATGTATAGGATGTATTTATCTAAGAACAAAAGAAAAAAATATTATAAATAATATTTTTGCTGGAATTGGGTATGTCTAGTTTAATGAAGAGAAGGACGAGGGGGGACATGATAGCAGTGTTCCAATATCTCAGGGGCTGCCACAAAGAAGAAGAGTCAAGCTATTCTCCAAAGCGCCTGAAGGCAGGACAAGAAGCAACGGGTGGAAACTAACCAAAGAGAGAAGCAACCTAGAACTAAGGAGAAACTTCCTGACAGTTAGAACAATTAATCAGTGGAACAATCTACTTCCAGAAGCGGTGAATGCTCCAACACTGGACGTTTTTAAGAAGAGACTGTACAGCCATTTGTCCAAAATGGTATAGGGTTTCCTGCCTGAGCAGGGCGTTGGACTAGATGACCTCCAAGGCCCCTTCCAACTTTTATTATTATTATTATTATTATTATTATTATTATTATTATTATTATTATTATTATTATTATTATTATTATTTACAATTTCCCTCAAATGGATGCAAATTCTTATGTATTCTTCTCATTCATCTGCAGAAGAATAAATGTTAGCACGGTGAATGGTACACACACATCCAAATATACTTATTAACTATCACAGTTGAAATAGTTGCTAATTGATTTTCCTAACCTGCATTAATGGGCAGTCAAAACTTGAGATGTAAAATTTTTAAAATTTTTAAAATCAGAGAGCAATTAGAAGAAAAATGTGGCTCTAAATCCCCAACTCGAAATGTTGCCCATCTGAATGAAGTTATTTAGCATTAGACTGAATCACTTGGTGACAGAACTCATTAATATAAAGTTTGGTGCCTCCAGATGTGTGTGTATGAATGTTCAGAGAGAGAGGAGAAGGGGAGATTGAATGGTTTGTTACACTTTCAAACTATTAATTTTAATATAAAGATTGAATATATGTCATTTCCTAATAAGGAATTTAGTAAGAATGCCACAGTGAATATTTCCATAGTAGAACATAATCATGAGGGTAAAAACATAGAAACATGACATTTAATTTTTTTTCCTTTTAACATTTTTCAGTTTCTCATACAAGCTATAAACTTGTATGTAATTATACAGTATTAAAGTATAAACTTCAATCAAACTAAAAAATTAGGTGATAACTGAATGGAACAAAATCTGTCTTCTCACACTAACAGTTCACAATAATGTTGGTGGTTAGAAATAGAACAAAAAAAAGTAGTACATTAATACATTCAAGTTATATTTTTCTTTGAACTTTTAATACATTTTTTCTATTCAAGTAATCCTCAAGTTACAACTGGGACTAGAATTTCTCATGCCAAGCAAGATAGTTGTTAAGTGAGTCATGCCCAATTTTACAACTTTTTTGCCACAGTTGTTAAGCAAATAACTGCAGCTGTTAAGTGAATCACATTGTTAAGCAAATCTGGCTTCGCCCATTCACTTTATTTATTAGAAACCAGCTAGGAAGGTCACAAATAGTAATTACATGACCCAGGATGTTGCAACTATTGTAAATACATGCTGGTTGCCAAGTGCCCAAATTTTGAACTTGTGACCCTGGGGATGCTATGATAGTCATAAGAGCGAGAACTTTTTTCAGTGTAACTTCAAACGGTCACTAAATGAATGGTTGTAAGTCAAGAACTACCTATATATTTATTATTTGTACCTTCAAATCAGTGTTGACTTCTGAAACTTTTTTGGCAAGATTTTGGTTTGCCATTGGCTCTTTCCTAGGGCTAAGAGAGAGTGACCATCTGGCTTTTGCGCCTAACAGGGGCACAATACTGTATAGAACTCAGTTTCCCAGTTTTTAGCCTGGAAACCACTATATAAAACTGGCTCTTATTTCTATTATTTTTTTACACATTTAAAATATTTACTCTTACCTTTATGAAATTTATAGTTGTTTGTTCAGATGATCTGGGTTTCTCTGGATTACTCACATCTACACACAAGGTTTGGAGATAAAGTAAGCAACTTTGCAATATCTCATCAGCAAAAAATAGTTGCTTATACAATATCATTCTGCAAACAAAATAATATTAATATTTTAAATTACTACAAGTTTTCAGTTTATAATAATAAATATAAGTAGACATATGCCTTGGAATTCAGCAATTCATCTTGAAAGTCATTATCTCATAAACTTGGTTGATATATATGGATTTATTTACCTGAAGGAGAACCTAAACTAAAACCAGAGGAGAATTGGAAAGGGAAGGCCATATTTCTCAGTCGTTTGCCTATGCTCAGTTAACAAAGATTTAAACTGGATAAGGAGGATTTTGTTGTTACCGATGGGAAAACTGATTTTGAGTTGGATTTAAGTACTAATAATGAACATGTGATTGCTAAGATGCATAAATTATTATTGAAAATGAATATGGAGGATGAAATGTTAAAGATAGTATGATCAAATTGGCAAGAAATTTTGGTTGCAACATAATGCTTGATCAATGGGAGAATATGTGGAGTAAAGGACTGAAATCTATACTGAATAATAACTTGAAATAGAGAGATGATGTATCATTGGCATTTAACACCATATAAATTGTCAGACAGTTTGTATAAGGGTGTGTCAAATACATGTTGGAAATGTAAACAATCTGAAGGCACTTTTTATCACTTCTAGTGGCCATGTAAGAAAATTAAGACTTTTTGCAATCAGATAAGTATTTTTAACTCAGACAATTCTTAAACTGAATGTACACTTGAAACCAGAGGCTTTTCTTATATATTACAATTACCGTAATTTTCTGTCTATAAGATGTACCCTTGTATAAGACGCTCTGGCATGCGAGTTCCAAGCTTACAGCAAACAAAGTCAGTGCTGGGAGCAACCACCTCCCAGCACTCTAAATAGATGCTTCCTGGCCGGCCCCACCCACCACCCACCTAACCAGCATCCGGCATGAAGAGCATGCATAGTCAGTTCACAGCAGCAGCCTTCCAACCCTGGTAAACAAACTGGCGTGAGTACCAGCATGACAGCAAGACAAGGGAAGCGCAGGCAGGTTTTAAACTCCCCGTTTCTCCGCGCCGATCAGCTGTTCAACGGAGCGCTGAACAGCTGAATCAGCAAATCCGGACGTTTGGCCAGCCGATGATCTTGCCCCCTCCCCCCTCCCATTAGTGGCAAGCCCACAGGGGCTTGACACCTGCACCAGGCTGCATGGCAGCGGCATGTAAAGAACCCACACAGGCATGCCCTGGGCTGTGGAAGTTACCATTATTTTTTCGTGTATAAGACGCTGCACTTGTATAAGATGCACCTGATATTTGAACAGGGTGTTTGCAGGAAAAAATAGTGTCTTATACACGTTATACGGTATCTGCAAGGCTTCTCTATGCACAGAGATGGAAGGACTCACATATACCTTCAATGGAAGAATGGATGGTGAAATTAATGGAGTTGGCAGAGATGACGAAATTGACAGTTCTGATTAGAGAAAGATTTTATCTAGCTTTGTTTTTACTTGGAAATAATTCTTGTATTTTTTGCTTGAAATTGAAAGAAATGAAATTTTAATCTTGGGTTATACTGTTTGTAATGGTTTATTCTAATTCAAAGAGTCATTGATTTTTAGGTTTTATCTGTATAAAATAAAGTCAAAAGTTACTTTTCTCTATATTTTCCCCCTTTTTCCTCTACTTTTTTATAGTTTATACATTTCTTTGAAATGTAATAAAGTTTTGAAAGAAAGAAAGTCATTATTTGCCCTCCAGAATAAAAGAGGAGAAATAAAATAGAATTATTGGTGATCCTGTGTTCCCTGCCTTTCCTGGAAGATAGGAAGAGTGAATTCTTGTGTGACTATCATCTTACATAAAACTAAGAAATTATTTTAAATGTTTTCCAACATTCAGTGAAACCCCACTAAAATAATTGAATCACAAAACGGATGAGTTAGAAAGGTTTTATATAATGTGCAGGTCTCCCTAATAGGGCCATCCACTTCTTCAGTGCAGAATGTTTTACTGTGATTCTACCAGATGACAATTCCTAATCAATAGGACCATGCATTCTTAGATCCTTAACACATGCACTATTATCAAGGAACATATCCTCAAATATGGTAGTTATGCATTTGATTTTTCCTGTTCAGACTGGTGTTTTACACGTTACTTTTTAAAACATGCCTTCCACCTGAAAAAAGGGTAATAAAAAGGGTAATCAACTCACTCAGTACAAATACTTACTGGTTTCTCTTTGTTTTTGAACACTTAACATTATTTTTCCAGAGGATAAAATATTTCTTTTTTCTGAAAAGAAAAGAAAAATCTTCTGAGAAAGAAACAGATTTGATTGTATAATCAAGGATTATTGAGCCAGAGATATGTATAACTATTACCCACAAATATTAAATATTTAACATAATTTCATATGACTAAAATGTAATAATTATTTTAACAGAATATGGCAACCTTCTCTGATGGCATCCCCACTGACTTTCTCAGGAAACCAGCAGAGAAAATGGCAAATGTTAATCACATGAGTGCAAGGCATTTGACAATGCAAAATTTGCCAAACACCCAAAATAAGATCAAGTGACCCAGTGGGGGGGGGGTGGCATGACCATTTACAATGGCTAGAAGTACTTTACAGATTGTAAAGCACCTGTTCTAAGGCCATCATAAATGCAAATGGTTGTAAAACAACTGGACTTAAGTCAAGGATTACAGATAATCCCTGAGTTACAAGCGTTTACTTAACACTCGTTCAAAGTTACATGATGAGAGCCCCCTCGTACCACGGCAGTTGTTTGCCTTTACAAGCAACTGCAGTGGCTCTGCAACATTCACCCTGGTTATTCCCTCCCTCCCTATCCCCGCCCCGGGTCTCCCTAGGCACCAGGCCTTCAATACTCACCCTACGAAGATCGAGATCCTTCGCTTTCTTGGCTGCTCCAGGCCTTTGGTGCATTCGCAAAGAATGGAGGCCTAAAGTAACGCAAGGTCACGCAAGATCAGTGGGGCGAGATCTCATGCTATTGATCTCGCATGATTCTCATGGTACTTTAGGCCTCTGTTCTCTATAACAAAGAACGGAACCGAAGCTAGGGGACGCTTCCACGTGCCTCCAGAGGCTGGATCCGGGATCTGGAGGCGTTTTCCAGGCCGCTGCTGCCCAAATCTGAGGTCAGGGAATGCTTCCGTGCCCCCCGCAGCCCGATCTGGGCTCCAGAGGCATTTTCCAGGCCCGATCAGACCGCAGGGGGGCGCGTGGAAGCATCCCCTGGCCTCAGATCCAGGCGGCAGCAGGAACCATGGCAGAGAGGAGACGGATCTTTTCCAGGTGAGTCCGGTATGGCAGGAAGGGAGGGGGAAGCATGCGGTATCTTAGTGGGTCGGGGAGGCCTTGGGGGCCTGTTTCATCACTAGGTCCTCCATGGCCTTCCCCACCCTGAGATACCTCATGTTTGCTTAACAAGCCATGTATGTTTTAACGAGCAAGGGAATAATCTTGTTCGAGGTACGAGATTTACTCTACGAGTTTTTGAGTTACCAGTGGAATGGGCAGGCTCCACTACACTCGTAACTCGAGAACTAGCTGTACTTATAAGTCATTACTTCATTGCCCCATAGACCAGGAGCCCCCAACCCCTGGTCTGTGGACCAGTACCGGGCCGCAGCATGCCAGCAACCGGGCCGCACAAACAAGTAAAGGCCCATCTGTGGGATAAAGGCAGCACACAAAACCATGCAACCTCCGGTCCATGGAAAAACCTCTCTCCACGGAACCAGTCCCTGGTGCCCAAAAAGTTGGAGACCTCTGCCATAGACTATATGGGACATGAAATGATGATAACTAAAAGCTACTTAGTCCAAAATGCAATGGCTAGAATCCTAATCAAACAATGTGTACAATCTAACATCAGTACTCCCATTGCCACACCAATCATCTTTGGCTAAGAGAGGAGCCAGACACCTAGCTTTGCACAGCCTATTTTTGTGGGGGTGGGAGTAGGACATAGGGCATGGGAATATTGTTCCCATGGAAAATTAAATGTAACTATTCTATGTCCAGAAAAAAACAAAATATTAAAGTCCCAAACTAAAACAATACCACAGAAAAATAAAAATAAAAGAGACCAGCATGATTGCACAAATAGCTCTCTGACAAGCTGAGGGACAAGGACAAGTATAAAAAAAGGAAAACAGGGACATTTAACTAAAACAGAATACCAGCGCATAACATGAATCTGCAGGGATGGAGTGAGAAAGGCTAAGACTAAGACTTGCAACAAATGCCAATAATAACAACAACAAAGCTCAACCCATCAAAAGCAGCACAGTGGGAGATCAAACAGATACACAGATCAAAATATGTAAGAAATTGGTTAAAAACACCTATTTATAAGGACCAGATGGTTTATATCCCATATACTGAAAAAGCTGGCAGATGTGATCTCAGAACCATTGAACAAAACCTTTCAGAGCTTCTGGAGCATGGGGGAACTGCCAGAATAGTGGAAAAGAGATGATGTGATTCTACTCTTCAAAGGAGAAAAATGTGGATCCAGGAAACTATAGACAAATCAGCTTGATATCAATACTTGGGAAAACCCTTAAAAATAGAATCAAACATAGATTTGTAAGCATCTAGAAATGAAAAAAGCAGTCATTTTAAGCCAGTATTTGTTTGTTAAAAAAGAAATCATGCCAGACAAACCTTATTGCCTTTTTTGATAAATTAGTGGATGACGGAAATGCTATGGATATAGTTTATTTGAACTTCAATAAGGCATTTGACAAAGTATACTTCTTCTTCTACAGCCTACCTCTTGGTAAGATAGAACAATGTGGGATAGACTATACCAACACCAGTTGCATTCGCAGTTGGCTGGCCAACTATACTCACTATTTAGTTGTTGATGAAACTATATCTAGAAGAAGGGAAGCATGCAGTGGGGTACCTCAAGGTTCTGTCATGGGCTAGTGCTCTTCAACGTTTTTATAAATAATTTAGATGATGGAAGGGTAATTCATCAAATTTGGAAGGAATTGTCAACACCTTGGAAGATAAATTCATGATTCAGAAGGATCTTGACAGACATGAGCCTTGGGCCCAAGCCAACAAGATGCAGTTCAGTGGTGAGAAAAGCAAGGTCCTGCACTTACTGTAGGCAAGAAAAAACCAAATGCACAGATATAGAATAAATGGTACCTGGCTCAACAGTAGTAACTGTAGGAGGGAGCTTGGTGTTACTCATTATTTTAAGTATGAACCAGCAGTGTACTGCAACTGCCAAAAAAGCCAATGCAGTCCTGGGCTACATCAACAGAGGCATAGCATCAATGATAGTACTACTCTATACTGCACTAGTAAGGCCCTATTTGGAATACTGTTTCCAATTCTTGTTACCATGATCCAAAAGATGCTAAGGCCTTAGAAAGAGTGCAGAGAAGGGCAACAAAGATGATAAGGTGTCTGGAGGTTAAATCATATAAGAAAAAGTTAAGGGAACTAGGCATATTTAGTCTAATGAAGAGAAGGATTAGGGCAGTGATGGCAAACCTTTTAGAGACCGAGTGCCCAAACTGCAGCCCAAAACCCACTTATGTATTGTTGGGTCCTGGGTGGATGTGGCCATTGGGTGGGTGTGGTCCATTGGGCAGGCGTGGCCCATTGGGTGGGCATGGCTGCGGTGGTAACGGCAGACTGGGTGGGACTAAAAAGTTCAATCAATCAATTCCAACTTTGCGAGATCTTTTTTTTTCCCACGAGAAGTTGAAATTGATTGAACCTCTTTTTTTGCACACGGTGGTGGAGGCCTAAAGCGAAAAGGTTTTATAAAACCCAGCTGAAGGCCTAGGACTGGGGTGACGGCACGCATGCCCACAGAGGGCTCTCTGTGTCACCTGTGGCACACGTGCCATAGGTTCGCCACCACAGGATTAGGGTGACATAGCTGGTTTCCAGTACTTGAAGAGCTATCACAGAGAAGACAGGGTCAACTTAGTCTCCGAAGCATCTGAGGATAGGACAAGAAGCAATGGATGGAAACTTGTTAAAGAAAGATCCAAGTTGGAACTAAGGAGAATTTTTCTGACAATGAGAGCAATTAACCAATGGGACAGCTTGCCTCCAGAGGTTATGAGTGCTCTGTCACTGGAGGTTTTCAAGAAAATATAGGACAATCACCTGTCCTAAATAATATAAAGTCTCCTCCTTGGGAAGGGGGTTGGACTGAGAGTTTTCAAAGATTCCTTCTCTGATTCTATGACATAACATCTGGTGTAGTCTTAAATCTTACTGCATGTGCTTTGATAGCAGGGTTTAGAAATGAAGATGCTCAGTACAGTATGAAGCTAGCTTTATATTAAGGTGCAAGAAGGAATGGCCCAGGGAGGATCTATCCATGTTGCTATTTGTGCATACTAAGGACTATGTTGTCCTTTCTCAAATACTGATATAAAAAGTGCTATAAATGTGCACTGTGATTTTTGTTTTTTGAAAAACTTCCCTCCATAGTGAATTGCCTGAATACAGTTGACTACGAACCTTCTGTCATGTGATTTATTTATCAACACTATAATGTTTTTTTCTGAACACATCTGACATAGAGAAAAGTACAAAAAGAAAAGGCTTTGAGTTGGTAATCATCTTTTGTTGCATAACACATGGAGTTATGGATGAATGAATATGGGGAAATGAACTATAGAAAATCTCTATAGCTGAAAAATGCTACAGTTTCCACACTGAAACGTTTTGTCACATATAGGAAATCACAACATCCAAAATATTCTACTACACTTGAGTAAATAATTGCACACATATCATTTGTTCCATAAATATCTCTTACCTGAAATTAAAATATAAATCCATGTTATGTAACACATTATAAAGTTGTCTTTCATATAACCATTCCATTACTGGAGTTATTTCCATTTCTTGTTTTCCACACACTGAGGTGAACTGGAAAATGAGGCAAAAGCTAGGATATTTAACTATATTTCAGTATTTATGAATTTACATTCCACTGTCATATTTTTTATGTCCAAATAAAGGAAAATCTGATTATTCAGATTTATAGCAATTCCCTCAACAATCCTGCCAAAGAAAACCACAATATTTGTATAAAGTAAGAGTGAGTAATGTGTGGCCCACAGACTACATACAGTTCCATCTGCATCTTAGCACTTCAAATTTATACCAAAGTTTGGTAGGAAAATGGCTTATTTTCCGTAGTACTTTTTTTTACTTTTCAGAATAAAGGGTGGGGATGGAAGCTGGAAACTCTGAAAGCTCCAATTCAAACCACTTCAATTCCCATTCTTAAATTCCCACCCAAAAAGCAGACCACCACTCCCCCCCACTTCAAAATTATGCTACCAAATCCAGCACCAAAAATTAACAATTATTTTTGAATTTTGTAAAGTGATTGTTCAGCATGGAAGCCATTTGGCTACAAGAAGCCTACTGCTCCCGTTCTCATTATTACCCCTACTCCATGCAAGAAACAACATAAATAATCCAACATCACCACTTCTCTTATAGTCCTCTAGTTTCAGAAGATAAATATTGTTAATAATCACTAATCCCTCTGATATTACCTACTCCTGAAAGATAAATAGGTAGCAGTGACAGGAAACTGCAACTGACAAATCTAGTCTGTTCCATTGCACTATAATGTTTCTATATTTTTACCTTTAGAGGGTGCTGGTGAATTACAAAATAAATAGTGATACAGCTATCATTCCTTGTGGTTGTCTTTTTAAGGACAAAAAAAAGACTACTATGCACAAACCATCTTTGTTGCCTGCAAATCCACCTATACTTTTTAAAATTCAAATCCTTTTATTTTGATCAATATTTTTATTAAAAAAATACAGTTAAGTATACCCAATATGATGAGGACCGGCCATCTTTGTCTCTACAAGACAGCTGGAGGGTGGAGTCACTTGGCATTTTATTGGAAAAAACTTTTCTGAGGAAAAAAAATTACAGTGGCTCAAATAGACATTATATCCCAAAGGGAAAATAATGAATAAAAAGCAAATTTTATCCACTCTTCCTTGTTCTTGTTGAGAGGGGGAAGTAAAATGAGCAGAGCTGAGATTTTCAGAACACTTCTTCTATTCTTTTAGAGTTTACATTAGAGTTTTTCATTATTTGATCTACAGTTCAGAAGCACAATCAAAAGGTCAGAACTGGTGTGACAGTGTTTACCATTCTGTTCTTGCACTAGCTGTCATTCTGAAAAAAAACATCTGAGTACAAGTGAGAATGAATAT